GTTTCCGCTCAAAGGAAGTTGCCAATTATTTTGGCCTGTTGATTTAAGGGCTGGACCTGGTTGCAGCGACTTTGGATGCCTCACCTATGGATGGACACATCACGTAGGGTTTCCAGTTTGTGAGGAAGGGCACTCTAAACTCTCGCTGTATCCAGGGTTCCCTAGCAATTGCAGATCTGAATATTAGTACTTCTATTAATTAAGTGTGCTATTCCATATTTTCCTTACTGTTTATTTTGTAGTATTTAGTCATATCCTTTGAATATAGTTAATATGGGATGCTTTGTACTTAATAGGGTACCTTTAAGAGTTTATTGCGGTGATTAAGAATAGTATTATTGATTATAGTAAGTATTAAGATGGCGTATAGTTGTATAATGAGAAATATTAGTAAATTTATGCTTGTGCAGCCTGCACAAAAAGAAAAAGGGGGAATTGTTGGAGAACGGCTTGCAGAGAGCAAGGCCATAGCTCCCTGCTTGAGCTGGTCGGCCATAGCTCCCTGCAGAAGTCAGTCCCAGCCACCTGAGGTAAACAAAGGAAAGAACCCAGGGTACAGTTATGTAAACAAGGATGGAGATCCAGGGCTCAGTTGTGCTAGCGAGGACTGTTGTGAGAACACAGAGATAAGTTGGGGCGCATTATGACCTTGGGGGTCAGAGGAAGCAGCCCTGGGAGAGAAGCAGGTTCACAGCAAGAAAGATGTTTATGCATACCAGAGATGCCACAAGGGGCTGGGATATTATAATGTGACTTTTTAAATGTACCCAATGGCTGAGACATTATAATGTAGTTTCTTAAATGTATCCAATAGAGTTGCACGTTATGTATTGTAGAATGCTTATATAAGGTGTGATTTCTATCAATAAAGTTGAAGCTTGCTCTATCATTCACATTGAATCCGCTGCTTGCTTCCTCCGCCCACCACAAATGTCAATTGTGGTCCTTCATCCACTGCTCAATCCATTGCATAATCTGATCCAAATTTCTCTCTAGGTCTTCTGGAGTGTTGCTGGGCAACTGGTGTACAATTTCCTCTCTATATGACAACATAGCTTCCTCATAAAGTGTCTGAAATATTTCACACTGAATGTTGTCTTGCAGCTTTTTCCCTCTGTAGCCCCTAGAAAACAAGAACAATACTGATAGTTTTAATATGCAAACAACTATGAAGTCTTCTATAGAGAATCAGCAATTTATACCCTAGAAAAATCTCCAATGAAGTCACACAACAGTACTTTACTCCTTATTTACTCCATTGACATACCTGCTTTCAAGTCTGTCATACAGAAATGAATTTTCTGTACGAAGTACAAATACTATATGAAACCACCGTTCAGGGAAAAAATCACAGCCATGATAATCGACAATAACTCCACCCTCACTCATTTTATCTTCTAGTTCATCAATTACCTACAGAAACAAAACAAAACAAAATAAAACAAAACCAAAACAGAAACAAGCAAGTTATCTGAGATTACAGAAAGTCAAAATATAAAAATGGCAGGTTTTGAAGCTGAACTTACCCTGTCTTCATCCAGAATTGGACAATCATATTCCTCATCAAAACCTTCATACAATTCTCCTGCAACAAGAATAATTTGTGGAAGCTTGTGAAGTAATGGCAGTTACTTAAAATTATTTATAGTTCTGTTTATTTCAGGAGGATGCAAACCAAAGATAGTGTTCAGGACAAGAAACACTTTGTTTACAAATCCATATAAATTTGTTATTTATTACTTAATACAAAGTATACTACTGTTACATAAATGCTTTTTAGATTCATGGTGCCAAAAGTACTTCTATCAAAGCAAATAAGCTGCCTTTTAATATATAATATATGCACTACAAGCACACAGTTATACAAAACAGAAATAATGATGGACAACTTGGTTATTATGGCCTACCTTCCTTTGCCATGTCACCCACATTAATATAGGTCATCTCTGTTCTTGATGCAAGTTCTTTTCCGAGCGTGGTTTTCCCAACACCTGGAGTACCTACAAAACCCCATATGAAATGGGAAGAGAAAAGCATGCAAATCCTCTTCAAATAACTTTCTAAGCAGTCAAAAAGGGTTTTGCCAGTCAACGTTAACAAGTTTGTGTAAGAAAAAGGGAGTAAAAAGCTGTATGATGCGGAAAAACAAAAAAATGCCATGTCTAGGTCTTAAAAAAAAACCCCAACCTACTTAAAAACCGTTCATTTTGTGAACGTTCTAATCGGGATGACGCAAACGTAAACCTTGCTTCAATTAACAGCCCTAACTAATATGGAAAAGCCTCAAGTTTTCATGCAGAGCAGCCTGGCACTGCCTCCACAGGAGCCTCACACCCCAAGCCACCTCAGGCTGCGAACTAGGCCGGCGGGGAGAAACCCCAGCCCCGGGCACCGCCGCGCTCCCCGCCCGCACCCCCGGCAGCCC